ATGTTATATCTCAAGCACTGTTACAGAGAGGAACATGCAACCAATGCAATATTGAAATTATTGCACAACAGAGCTGACAAAAACATCCGATGACCATATATGGTCATGGGACATCATTAAATATGCAAGACTGTAATACCTTAAGCACTGTTACAGACAGGAACATGTAACATGTTTAGTATGAAGGCCATGCAATTCCTTTAATATATTATTGTCAGTGATGCTGATTTTGGAACGCTGCTAATAAGTCAGTGGGCTCGAAACCCGACATTGCTGCAACGCAGCTATATTTACAGTTTGTTTTTGTGCCACGGAATCTCCTTTTTTTAGTTTTCAGTCATGAAAAGTACATTCAGTCATGAAAAGTACATTCAGCAGTTTTAGCTGAGAATTATCGTTGGAAATAACGTTCGTCGTGCACATCAAATTATTAAGCTCAATCGAATAAAAATGGACAAACGGCTCGTACCATAAAAAAATACATGTACAAAATGAACTCTAATCTATAACGGGGTACTAATATATATTTTTCGAAAGCTGGCTTTCTCGGTAGGAGTAGAAATCCTGGAGGTACTGGTGGTACACACCTTAACATGTTGCCAGGGTTGTACCCCATCCGTATTGTAACGTAGTTGCGAATGATAGTATACGCGAGTCTATATTATTATTGCACAACCTATGATTGATAGTTCATAGCACCCAGATCGTAATGAAAACCGCAATGACGTCATTATGCTTGCAATTGTAATAAATAATCTTAAAGCATTTCTGAGAAGTTGTGACAACCCCTGCGAATAAATGGAGCATTGCATTGTTGTTATCTTGAAATAGTGACTACTTATATTATTACCATACTTTATGACTTCCCCGGACACAGATCGCCATTAACGATGCACTGTCTACAGTCACGTGGCTCCTAGCTGATGGAACATACCGGCGCCTAGTCCACTCCAATAGCAGCGCTGTTTGAGGTGAGGTCATTCGTTTATTTCTCCCGAATTGCTTTTTGGAAAATCATTACGCGTCTGTCTACACTGGGCACTAACAGTCGTGGATGCAACTGCTACACGTATAAATATATAATAAACTACAAGGTTTCATTTTTATTGCATCTCGTTTTGTAATAATTGTAATATTAATGAGGTAATATATTCCAATGGGTTAACAGCTATGCACTGCGATGTGTTAATATATATTGCTGTCCGTGTTTAGTTTTCTATGTTCAGAATGCCTCAAATGAATTGATATTCAAGACGAAAATATCACAATTCTTCTACAGTTTTACTAAAAACGCCAGTAGCTCGTAATCTGGTTGTGTTTTTGCCATTGCAGGTCTCTCGCAGGAATTTGCAAACGACAAACATCGCCGCATCCCGTGCCTCGTTAGGATCTGTAACATGTCACTTAAACGTGCCCAACGCTTTATGCTCGAGGTAAGTCCCACCTGCATAATATGAAACTGTCACTGGTAACATCCATGAACGTCGATCATTATGATTAGCTAAGTTGAGATTTAAATATATGTTCCCGTTTAAAAGTGAAATTATAGTTGTAGTGCTTCACCGTGCTTTCTACAAAAGGTACATTGAACAGTCAACATTGAACAGTGAAAAGTTAATATTATAGCGGATGATGTCATTTTGGAAATTTTTGGGCGGGAAAAATCATTCATGTTATGGTTACGTGGCTTCGTTTTTGGAACACTGCATTGTGTTCAAACCAGCGCATGCGTATTGATGTGGGCACAACATTTCAAGTTTTCTTCAACTGAAATGAAGTCGGCCAATGTTTTTTTGAGACTGTGGGAACTGAACACTATCGAAACTGAGGTTTTCAACAAGATAATTAAACAATCCTTGATTCAAGCCTGGGTGTAGCATGTTCAAATAACATGATACATTATACGTTAAATTTCTTTCTAGGTTATTCGAAATAAGAAACAAAAATGTGACAGTGAGGAAATATCCGATGACAGCACAGCTGCATGTGGACCAAACAAGCCAATCCAGACGTTTGTATTTCTCGACCTCGAAGCCACTGGTCTGCCCGAGTCTGATGGTACGCTTCCTGACATCACAGAACTCGCCATGACAGCCATCGCGAGACAAGGCATGACTGGCAATTCCGTGAAAGGTGCAATTCCCAGAATCCAAGATAAACTACTTCTTTGTCTGACCCCACAAAAAGACGTCACCCCGACAGCGGAAAAGATGACGGGGCTGAGCAAACAACTGCTGGAGAAACACTGCAAAAGAAAAATGGACTTGAACGTAGATGGCGCATTGAGGTATTTTCTGCGAAGACAGACACCCCCAGTATGCCTTGTTTCACATGCTGGGGACCGTTTCGACTTTCCCGTATTGCGAGCAGAGTTGGATAAAGTCGACAGTGTGTGGGACTGCATCTACACTATTGATAGCTTAAAGTTTTTTCAGTATTACATGCCAAAACAAAACCGATCGTTGCCAAACCTTTGTAAGAGATTTCTTGGTTTTGAGACCGACCACAATGCAGAAGGTGACGTAACCGGCCTTGTCTTGCTGTTATCGTCTTGCACGTTCGCCGATACTTTTTTGGATTGGGCTCAAGAAAATGCTATTAAATTTTAGATTGAGATGAATGATTAACTACGTGATAATTTGTAATTGTGGCGTTGATTTAGGATGTTTATATTTTTTAATTCAATTTTCATTGACAATGAGATTACACTTATAAATGCGAAAAACTTAAAGGTCAGTGGTCGTCGCGTAGCGCATTTTAGAAATTTATGTAAACAAACAATGTATTTTACATTCGTTATGTACGGACAAGACGCTGCGCAATGACCACTGGTCGCAATCACTCCAGAAATTATTCAACACATCGATATTGTTGTTGTATTGTGGCCTCAAAAGTTGAAATTTCGTGTTTTGACATTATCGCTGGACGATCTCGAATAAAATGCCGCATTTATTCAACGAACGAACGAACTGACAGACAGAAAGGAAGGAAATGTACCTTTATGCGCCCTTCTCGTTTGAAGTTTGACGAATTAATTCTTCTTCTGTGGGGTGTAACTAGTACATACGAGTATCATTTGAACTTTGTTGTCATAATTTGTTCAATCTACTTTAATAGTAGCCTGGTAGACGAATGCAGCCTTGCACAGTTTTGTATTATGTATATCCTTGGCTGGTCTTCCCTGGCATTCACGGGAATTTTAATGTAATGAATACTACGTGTAAATGACTACAGAATTACTAGTACTCATTGTAAAGTACTACATGCGTTTACCTGGCCGCAATTTGTCACATTGTAACAAAATTATGCAAAAGCATTGCCACTTATTTTGTACATCAAATTGTAAATATATATAAGGGTGGACCATTGCAAACTCTGGGGGAGAGGACTATGCATAATTGGTAACATCCTGATGGAATCAATAACAGAAATATGAATTCTGCAAGCATATTTCTTATGGGAAATAAAAAAAAAATCAGCCAATTCATCATGGACAAAAAAATAGCACAAAACTAAGTGTAGGAAATTTTGCCTATTGTTTCTACCCGGGCCCTTTGTGCATTTATTAGAGAATTGTTTGGGAATTCGGTGTACACAGGAATTTAAACATACAAAGGGCTAGTTTTTTTTAAGCAATGACAGACCCCAGTCACAGTTGATTGTAATCAGGACAAAGGTACTTTGTACTGCATTCATTGATACGAAATTCTACGCTATATACACGTGCTATTATAGTGAACACTGTACGTTCATTCCATGAAATAGCGAGTCAGTGGACTTATAATACTATAATAATATAACAATACACGGGGATCGCAGAATAAGTAGTATTCAAGGCTTCCTTCTTACACTAAATAGTAATAGTTGCTTTAAATTTCGTGAATAAATTAATCAAGTTTGAACCAAGTATTTGTTATAGTATTTGACAAAAGAGCACAAGAAACCGTTCATGGGGTGACTATGAATGTATATCAGTACAATAATGGTGTAATTCCATACATTACAACAATTACCATGTATAAGCATGTCGTATGGTACAAGTATTTTTAACCCGTGGTATCATAAATAACAAAGAAATTAGACAGCGTGCAGTTCATTGGCATACTTTTTAATGAAATATGCTAATTTTAATTATTTCTGCGAATTGATGACAATGTGACCTCGCTGTTACCGCGAAATAGTTTCTCTTTGAACGGTAGCAACACCTACCTGTGTACTATACTGATTTTTACAGTTCATACATTGGCACGCGTTGTACATCAAAGTTCCCTACCATATACTTAGAGCATGACCTCGGATAATTTGAGGGATTGAACATTAAACAAAATTGGCACGGGGAATAGTGGATTCAGAAAAAATCAGGGAAACTTACTGCAATTTTTTTTTTATAAAAATCCACTGGTTTTCATAATGGAATAAAATTACAACACCATCATCGTGAAACAATTTCTAACTACAGAATAAGTGAAAGAAATCCCAACCACCCACCCACCCACCCCAGAGTTGCAAATGGTCAACCCTAAGGCCGATTTACACAATTCGTATCAACGCAATTGAAAAAGTATGGCTACACGAGACCAAAGGCCTTGGCAACAGGCGAATCGTCGCCGTAAACACAGAGACTAGTCAACTGACAGCGAATTTTCTACTACGAGCACGAAGGGAACTCGCCGTCACTTGACAAGCCCCTGTGGCCTGAAATTACTAATACCAGCGATGTTTTCAGATGACATTAAGACCGGCTCTGGAATTAAAAACCAAATATTACTGAAAACTTGTGAAAAAAACCTATTAGCCAATATGCAACTTGGAGAACAAAAATATATAATTACGATAATAGTATACGCGATTAGACGGGCGTCTCCTAAGACCGGGTTCGTGAAGCATTGTGTTGCTTCATAAATCGCATCGCGTAAATATTCTTTTAAAAAGCTTTTGATACCCAGTTTAAACTGTTAGGCTAGTTAAATAGTAAGTAGATCGAATGTGTGTCACAAATAATAGGATCCACGTTGACACAGGCTTGTTTCCAGTTACAATACACTTATCTACTATGCATGTTTACGGGGTTTTCATTTTCTTCGAAATCGAGCGTCAGTTCTTTAATCTGGCAGAGTCTATTCCACCCTGGGGGGTGAGTAATGAAAATAACAATGTTGCTAATCTCTTTGTTAGTTTGGACGGTGTGAGGTGTTAATAATCCTTAGAACATCGTTACAAATACCACGGCTTAATTAGAACCGTTCGCAAACTGACTGCCTCAACTTTTTACGATTATTATCACGTGCGCTTTGTCGTGGTTTGATCCAGTTTACAAGAAAATACTTGACACTGGCAATGAGAAAGAGGGCGGCGTATCGACGACGAAT